TACCCGGCTACACCACATGCGCACTCGCTCCTTGAATAACATTTTTAAACCCAAAATCCTTTTCCAAGCTATGTCCCAGTGTCCTACACCTCTAAGTGAACCCACTTGTGTGACACAAGCTCTGAAAGATCCCAATTGGAGACGGGCTATGTCTGAAGAATTTAGTGCTCTTATGCGTCAAGGTACGTGGGAACTTGTTCCTCCATCTCCTGATCATCATTTAATTGGTTGTAAATGGGTGTTTCATTTAAAACGAGCTCCAGATGGTCGTCTTGAGCGTTATAAGGCTCGCTTGGTTGCCAAAGGCTTTCATCAACGTCCGGGATCTGACTATTTCAACACCTTTAGTCCTGTTATTAAACCTACTACTATTCGTACTGTTTTATCTATTGCAGTAAGCCAGCAGTGGGTTATCCGGCAATTGGATATTAATAATGCCTTTTTACATGGTCATCTTGAGGAACAATTGTTTATGAAGCAACCGGCAGGATTTGTTGATCCTCGTTTCCCTCAGCATGTGTGCAAATTGCGGAAGTCTATATATGGCCTGAAGCAAGCTCCCCGAGCATGGTTTATTGAGCTTAAAAGCTTTATTATCTCTCAAGGCTTCTCTCAATCTAAGTCAGACTCGTCTCTTTTTATTCTTCACAAAGGGTCTACTTGGATTTATTTTCTTGTCTATGTTGATGACATTATAATTACAGGAAGTGACTCTTCTGCTGTTCAGTCTCTTATTCAGATCATGGGAGCTCGTTTCTCCTTAAAGGATTTGGGGCCTCTCAATTTTTTCCTCGGTGTTGAAGCAATTCCCACTGCTGCTGGTCTTTTCTTATCCCAACATCGGTACATTACTGATCTTCTCCAGCAGTATAACATGCATGAGGCCAAGCCTGTGCCCACCCCTCTTGCTGCTTCCACTTCGTTGCATCTTGGTTCTGGTTCACCTCTTTCTGATGGTTCTATTTACCGGCGACTTCTTGGCTCCCTGCAATATCTTGCTCTCACTCGTCCGGATCTCTGCTTTGCCGTGAATAAGCTATCTCAATTTATGCATCAGCCCACTGACGCTCACTGGCAGGCGGCTAAACGTGTTCTTCGCTACTTGCAAGGGACCCGATTTCATGGGGTGTTGTTACGACCTCAGAGTGCTCTATCCTTGAATGCTTACTCCGATGCCGACTGGGCTGGCGATCGCTCTACCTGTGTTAGTACCACTGGTTATTTGGTCTTCCTGGGCTCGAATCCCATTTCCTGGCGTGCTACCAAACAGAAGGCCATCGCTCGAAGCTCCACAGAGGCTGAATATCGCGCCTTGGCATCTGCTGCTTCTGAATTGGTTTGGATCCACAATCTACTATCAGAACTTGGAGTTTCTAGTCTTGGCTCTCCTGCTCTGTTTTGTGATAATATTGGTGCCACTTACTTGAGTCTCAATCCCGTTCTTCACTCTCGGATGAAACATATCGCTGTTGATTTACACTTTGTTCGGGATCTAGTCGAGAAGAACGTCCTTCATGTTTCTCACATTTCTTCTCATGATCAGCTTGCTGATGGCCTTACCAAGGCTCTGTCTACTGCTCGCTTCTCCAGTTTGCGTTCCAAGATTGGTGTTGCTGATGGCACCTCCATCTTGCGGGGGCGTGTTAAGGCAA